CAGCAAAACCCAACCAAACAAAGCAATGGTTTTGATTAAGTCTAGAACATTTCTGGAAACTATCCCTCAGAAAATGAGGACAAATTATCCTGGATCTACAAAATTGCTCTTACTCTTTTACAGGAAATATCATATTGGAATGTCATATAGTACAGTTTACAGTGTCACCTAGCACACTGAGGTGAAGAATCAATGGATATTTGATGATTGAATGAATACATAAACAAGTAATAACTGACTGTGTATATCCACAGTTTTCCCTCAGAGATCCTAAAAGAATCCCTCTCTTAGTGCTAGCACCAATGTTTAAATGTCAGTTAGATTAAAAAAAAAAAAAGTTTTTTTTTTGTCTCTAGCTTTTTTTTAAGCTAGAAAAGAAATAATGTCCAAACACAAGTAATTTTCATCACCCTAATTTCCTTTTGTTTTAGTTATAGATGAAAAAAATTAAATATCTTTTAGGAACAAAGCACAACTGTACAAAGTTACCACACTTTTGTCAGCCTGAATCATAAGCTTCTATTCTTAAGAAGTAAAATCAATCCAGTGTTCACTGCAATTTGGAACCATGAGAAGGCACAAAATTATAGGTGAATACCTCAATGTACAAGATACAAAATGCTGCCTGATCATGTGTCTACTACATTTGTCTCTATGTTTTCAACACATATTATTTATCTTGAATGATGTAAAAATCTTCCATTAAAATTCAATTTGGTAACAAGTTGGCAAAACAAATACAGCTACTTTAGAACTCTGGATGTGTGCTGATTGTGCCTCACAGAATCACAGGGCTTTAAAGCATCTGAATGAACCCTCCTCCAACAAATCCCTGTAATTTTCCTTGTCAACAGATGTACATTTAATCAAGAAAAAACTAATAACATGTTTTCATTTTTAACTTTAAAAGAAAGAATTTCACTCCAATATATTTTCGTACTTAACTATTTTCATTATGAACAGATTTCACCATATGATTCTGCAAAAAAAAATCACATCTGACTACAACTTTAACACATCAATTTTTGTTAGTGTAGGGTACATTTCTTACATATTTTGCATCTGAACAGTCTTAAATTATCTCAGTATTTTCTTCTTAGCACTATGTATTTATGCTTTCTTTAAAATGTCTGAAAATTGTCTTAACTCTAGACATTTGCTGTTTAACTTTATTAATATAATTTTAGATTCTGCAGAGTATTTTGATGAAATACTAGTATTATTAGAAGCCTATATCTATCTTAGTCAATGCTATTAATTTTATTTGGATAATTTCTGTAAAATCTCATGTAAATCCAAATCAAAACAGATGAAAATGGTATTTCAGAACCTAATATTCATTGAGCATTCAGAACATTATAATTTTGTTTTTAGGAAATGTAAAAGGGAAAAAATATTGTTAACTAAAAACTACTTGATCTGCTAAACTTCAATTATTCTAAATGTGAACATCTTTTACATCATAAATATATGCCTCTTACCTGTGCTGCTGGATATATTAACATCGATACTGATATCAGATATTCCTCCTCCCTTCAGAGATGCTACACATGTGTACGTTCCAAAATCCGTGAATTTTAAATCAATGATGTCCAAGTTTGTTGTTCCTGGAGAGACATCAGGATCAGTCTGTGTAATGACCATCCGCTCAGAACTTCTTAATGGACGACCATTTTTAAACCAACTAAATGTTAGCTCCTCAGAAGGAACAGCTTCTACTTGGCAAGATATTTTCACCTCACGGCCAATCTGGATGTTGTCATCTTTGTGATAAGGATCTGGTGTGATCCAAAATCGTCCTTTTTTTAATGCTACAACATAAAAATTCCATAAGGGGTTAGTGTTACTTTCATAATTTTAAGGATTCATTCACTCTAGATAATCATCTCTGAGTTGAAATAAAGTAAAACCAAACTTGGTTATAGCCAAGTAGTGTGCATATCAGTAAACCTCATTTAGGTAATCCAGAAATAATCTTAAAAAATCTAAGTCAATTAAAGACTGTGAACACTGATTTTTATAAATTTGGTAATATTTTCCAGTGATATCAAAAGCAATGCCTTAGGTCTATGTGCAATTATACTTAAATATTGACATTTAATTTTGAACAAATAATAGATTCTATGTAGTCATAGGGTATTAAAATTAAAAGTAAGAATATGGGTCTCATTTAATCTAATTATTTCCCTATGTCATTACTTAATTATCGTATAATTTTCCAAACAACTCAAAAATTACACAAAGGACATATGAACATTCTCCTAAGTTGTATCTACATGTTAACGAACACTAGTTTGGTAACATTTGAGTCCATTCACATTCATGAAACATTTTCATATATTGAAATAACCTGAACTGGGGGAAAAAAAAAAAACCTGGGGCAAAAAGCATTTTCAAAACATTTTCTATGAACTTTTCTATTCTACCATACATAGATGTTTCCAGTTAAAACTGTTTGTTGGCTCTCTAATGCAGATGACCAAAAGAACCTCTCCACAGATAGCTTAGAAAACAGGTTTGTATGCTAACAGAAGTATTTTCTAGGTCTAAATGCAGTGCTGTTTTCACAAGAGATCAGTAGTAATGATTACCAGAAGGCTGCCAAGGGAGCATCTATAGGCTTTCTAGTAAGGGCCTGAACGTTGAATGATACTACAGTACTCAATATGGAAAAGCATTTTCTCTCTATTGTGATAGTGATTCTCTTATGCACACATTTTTCTTTTTTCTCATCATCTTCCCCATTTCCCTCTCCTTTAACATGACTATTCCCACATGACAAAATGTAGCATAAACAGTGAAACACAATTATCAGGATAAAATATTGGTCATTCACTTTTACCATGAAGCCCAAATATGTAATGATATTGTCAAAAATGCCACGAATTTAGTGGACCTGCAGACACTAGAAGGCTGCTAACAGCATTATGGATAGCCCCTCTTTAGTTTAACCACATTTTTGTCAGTTAGTCCAATAAAAACCAGTGAGAACTATGAAAATCTATAAAATCATGCAGAATGAACTGGAGACGAATATACTTTTAAATGTGAAAAAACTTTTCTAGGTTTTAAAACTCTTTAGCCTCAAATATTTTCATGTGCTTTCTTGTTGACATCTTAATAAGATATAAATAGATATCAAAAACAATGTTTGTATCTTTCTTTTTCATTTATTTGAAGGGCTCCTCCTCAAGACTAGCCACTAGACTGGGTTCTGACTACAGGACATGAACGAAATAGACATAACCATGGCCCTCATGTACTGCAGCTTGCAGATTCATAGATTAGAGGCCAACTTATTCACACAACACTTATGATACTTATGTCTAGAGAAACCACAGACATACATAGCGATGAAATGTTTTATATGCCTGAAGAAGTTTCAATCTCAGAGGACAGTCTCTCTAAATTATTGTTTAGAAAATGCACTAAGCTTTAATCTTAATGAAAACATGAGAAGACAAACACTTAAATCACATTCTCATACTGTCATTTGTTACATTTTTTCATAATAAAATGCAACTTATGAATCTTATTTACCCCTAACCATATCTTTATCAGTAAGTTGCTCTAGGGTGAAATTAGGATACATTTTGGTATTCTGTTACCTAGAATCATATATTTATATTTTCACAGGCACTGAAGTATGACTTTGCATTGTATTAGGGAAGGGAAATGTGATGAAAACGTCCATATCTGGCTTCTATATTTGGTATATAATAATCGTGCTCATACAATGCCAACGTAATGGAAGTTTTACAGTACAAAGCAAATTATATGAGTAAAAACATATTTTCTTTTAAAAACAGATGTAAAATTTAATATGTCAGGAGCATTTACTTTTATTAACACCGTAACACTTAAAGGAGAGTTTCCTTTCATTTGCTAAGAATTTTCTTTATCCTATTTTTAAAGAGAAATTTTAGTCATAATTTTGAAAGTTTTACTATTGCATATATTAATTTATTAATAACCATATGATTAATATCAGGGTTCATATGGAATACCTTTTGGAATAGTTTTCACTACAAAGCTATATGTTGGTTGCCTATGTAAACACACACAAAACTGAGATGTTTAAGTGGTTGTCATTTATTTGCCATGCAGCTATTGTTTTCTAGTTCTGTGCTCTGCAGAGTGACATATTAAAGTGACATTGAGAGAACTGCAAACTTACCAAATTAGATTTAATGTACTAAACAACTCAAAAAACACTGATAAAAATATGAAATCAATATCTGTATAATGTGTTATCGAATATAACAACTTTAATACCCAAAGTAAAAATATTAGAGATTATAAACCCATAATCAATTAATACTTAAGATCATATATAATATGCAATTATACAAATTAATAAAATGCAATATAATCAAGCATGCTTTTAAGAATGAACTCGCAGCAAAAAACATTGGTTAATCTTAGTATCAGATAATTCTATGATTTGGCCTAAGTCAATTGTACTAGTCTTCCAAATGACACAGAATCTAAAGTGAAAAAGAGAAACAAGTCTGCTAAGTGAGTTCAAGTTAAGAAATATCAGAATAACTAACATAGATTATTTAATAGAGAGTCATTTCTCTGTTTATGTTGTCCCTCTAACAAAATAACGTAACTGATTTTGCATACAAAAAAGAAATGTTCAGATAAAAGATGTGTGTGTGTACTTATATATAGTAACAGAGGACAGAGAAATTTTGTTTTCTTATTAAGCTCAGAAAACTAAGAGCATAGCTTTGTAAACTAGGTCTGGGTACATTGAGAACTTGCAACCTAATTCCAGTTTTTCATGTCTATGTAGTCCAAGATGGGCAATCTCATTTTTATGGATCAAGCACATCATTTATAAAAATAGAAGGTGATAGAGTTAGGCTCCCTTAGAGACACATTGTGAGAAATAGCTTATTAACAATTGTGCCTAAGTTTTGAAAATAGAGTGTTTAATATAGTTAATCAACTGGGCAGCAGGTTCCTTCGTTTATAATTAAACACTCTCTTTTTCAGTGAACAGTTTATAGTAGTTCACGTAATGTTAATTTAAAGCCATTTCCTGCTACCAGTTAAGATTTCAAACTTTTAAAATCAATCTGTGATTAGTACTGGAGTATAACAGAGGTCCAATAGACTTAACGAGACTCTATAGAACTAAAGAAATTCTATGGAAAAAGGATCAGAGAAATCCCTTTCCCCAGATGCAATTTCTCAGTCTGAATATTGAAAATCCCCTAACACCAGCCTGAGAGAACATTAAATTTGGCTTAATGTATCATAAATCGTGATGGATGAACCTTAAAAGGTACTTGTTTAGTCTGGCAGTGCATGTAAAAGACTGGCATCAAGTTGAACCTCTGTTCTGGATAATCAGTTTGGAAACACTGCAGTGTAACTATAGCCTCCCTTTTTTTAATATTGTGAATTGAATGCAGGCTTGGCTCTACATTCATTTTTTAGCAGTTTACTTGCAAGGACATTCTAATTGCACTTACTGAAATCCTTCTTCTTCAGGCTATACAGATGTGCTCTGTAAATGGAGTGAAACCCATGTACTGAAACGGAGGCCACTCATTGCAAAAATTTGGGTAGGGTTTGTTGCTGACCTTCCCTAGAAATAAGAGTCCATGCCTGTGAATGTGAATGCCAATGGTTCAATGGAAGACTTCAGTTATGTAAAACTAGATTACATCTTGAACTTATGCTTGAAAGAGGGAACACTGCCTTCAGAGAAGTCTAGCCTTGTGGCTTCCACAAAGAGGAGGCTGAGAGATTGTATCTTGACTGTAGTTATAGATTTAAAATTATAACGTACACTGTTTTGTTGGTCAAATGTTCCATGAAGTATGCAATACATAGTAATTCAGTAACAAACTAAAATTTATTGACAGAACAAAAAAAGACAACAGTCTTATACTTAATGTGAAAAAAATCACTTTGGAGATAATAAATATGAGGTGTCAGCTTTTAAGCTTCTGTTAAGTATCTATTTCAGAAGAATGATAAGATACAGAGTGACCACTGATCACCATTTCAGGTTGATAAATTGCTGAAAAGAGTGTCTTAATCGATTATGTTTTATAATCAGGTTGTAGGATTCTGGACAACCTGAAGAACTGACAAAACCTTGTTGAGATCTGGATATAGAAACCATTAATAGTGTAATCAGATAAATAAAAATCAATTTCCTATTTATTTATTCTTTGTTGAAGAAAATAAAAATATCTATGTGTGAAAGATGAAGTATTTTCCTGACCCACCGAATGCCAATTAAATAAGCAGTTGGAAATAGGTTACATCAGCAAAGCAACTTAAAAGATAGTAAATGATAGTACATATAATCTGTCCTACTATACCTAGCAATCTATCTTTCTCCTCAATAGGACTGTGAACACCTGGGGTTGGAGTGGGTACACCTTACTCTTCTTCATTGCCCCCAAATCCTGAATATGGTGCTTTGTTACAGTTGGTACTCAATACACTTTATTGAATTTAATTATAATTGACATTTCAAAGCATTAACTTTATAGATGCCAACAGTATGATAAGTTCCTGTTAATTTTGATTTTGTGTTGCAGTCGTGTGTTCTGAGATGCATCTGGGGAAATAGAATAGGAAAAAGAACAGATCTGATGTCCTCAAGGATTCAGTGATTTTGTTGTGGGAACAGAATAACACTTGATGAACAAACAAACAGCATCAACATGGGAATATATGTGAGGAAGAGAATTCTGTATACAACACAAGAAACCTCATTCTAGCACATCCACTGACTAGTTAGCTATGTGTATGGGACATCAACTATCAAACAACTCTCTTT